AAAGTTTTTTGAGATTATTAGTAATAACCAAAGAATATAGGCAGCAACCAAGTCCAGATAATCAGCTATCACTTCTCTCCCTTCCTTCTCTGCTACTGTCTTATAGATTGGCCTCCTGGGTCCTCTTGTAGTTCTGCTGGGTTTTAAAAAAACAACTATACAGTAGTTGATATGCAGGTGCTGACAAACTATTTTATCTTAACTCTCAAATCTTCAATGTTCTACTGTGATCCTAATTGTATAGGATAATTATCAGACTCAAAGAGAAGAAAACTCTCTGCCATGACACAGTAAATAAATGATCTCATCAAAATCCCAACCTATGCCAAGTCTAATTCCACAGTCTAAGGGGTTTCTTTATAGACATTCTCGTCCAATGCTGTATTATATGCTAATTGCCAGTTACTACTTTATCAGTTCTTTTATCCACAAAACTGCCTCAAAAGACCGATAATCTAAGAGAAAAGAAGCAAGATACTGCAACAGGTACTACACAAAGGATAACCAAATGCTCAAATGCCCGACTTTGTTAGTCATTAAAGAAATGCAAAGGAAAGCCATCAGGGGATACTTCTGCTTACAGACTAGCTCAGCTGCACCAGCCAAGCATGTTCCCGGTAGAGCACAGCAAGCTAGGAGGAGTATAATTGACTTATGCTTTGGAATGTTTACCAGTATGTACTTGAGATGAATGTGAGTATACTGCAACCTCTGACGTGACACTTTTGCTTTTAGGTTGAAGTCCAACAGATTTACATGTCTAAACATCATCTATCACAATCGTTTAAAACCATAATGTTTACAATATCTTCAAACTGGAAGCTACCTAGGTACCATAAACAATAGAATGATTTACTAAATCATTGATTAGTCGACAGTGGAATACCATATAGCCACAAGAATAAGAATATATAATCACAAAGAGTTGTCTTATAAATGAAGGACCAGTGACACAGGTAGATGAGATGAGAAACTATTCTATATGAATTCAATTATGTAAGAGTCAGAGACAGGAAAAATTAACCCATGATGCTAGCAGTCAGGTAAATGATTCCACTAAGGGAAGTGGGCAATGATGAACAGAGGAGATAATAGAGGTGCTGACAATGACTGGTCTCTTTGAAGCAAAACAAAACAACAACAAGCCAACTTCGTGTGGGTGGTGATGCGCACCCGTGAGTGGGGATGTGTGAAAAGACTGGAAGGGCATCACAGTCCTGGAGCTGGAGTTACAGGTGGTTGTGAGTTGCCAGACCTTGGTTCTGGGAACTGAACTCAGGTCCTCTGGAAGAACAGTACACATTCTTAACTGGTGAGGCTTCTCTCCAACTCCAACCTGCCTGCTGGCCACATTCCTCAAACTCAGCACTTGAAATTTTAGCCCCATCTTTCCTGTGAGTTTGTTTGCAGGTTTCTCATCCCCATATTTTGAGTCTGGATTGTGAAGCATTTCAGAATTTCAGATTAGGGGATGCTCAGTCAGGAAAAAATATCTATGAAAATATTCCCAAACTAAAACACTTGACAGCCTCAAGAATCTCAAACATTTCTATTCTTGAGCAACTCTTGACAAGGTACATTGCATCTGTACATCTGTACAGCCTGTCCTTCATACCCACAGCCAATGTGGGTACCAATATTGATGGAAGTTTGTCCCCTACATAAAATGGGATGAGATTTGCATGTAACTGTGTCCATTCTCCTCTCACGTACTTTAAGTCACAACTGGGTGATCTAACATGTAGTACAATATGAATGTCAATAGCTGCTATACTGTACTGTCAAGGAAAGACAAAACACTTGTTTAGGCTCAATACATATATAACTTCTGCTGTGAAATCTACAAATGTGGAACCTATGAGCATGATGGTCACTGAACTTTAGCTAAATACTTAGCAGAATGGGAATCAAGTCCTCCTCCCAAAGCATGCAAATGTTAATGTTTTCCAAGTCACAGTAGAACTCTCCATGTTTAAATTAATAATAATTATTCAAACTGACAGGTTTTAATACCATTTAGTGAAACAGCAAAACAGTTTAGGCAAATATAGGGATTTCTTTTAAGGTATCAAGCCAAATTCTAAAAAAAAAGAAAGAAAGAGAGAGAGAGAGAGAAAAGAAAATTACCATTAGGTATAAACAATAATAAAGACTAGATAAAAAATAATAATGTCAAAATGAGAGTTGTATGTCCCGAGTCTTATGGAGAAAACAGGGCTCCCAGCCTGCACTCAGGGCTCTCTGCTCACAAAACAGGTTTTGGATATCAAGCCAATGTTGAACAGCAGAGGGAAGAGAGCTAAGTAAAAGCAACAGCTCTGAAAGGTAAAGAGCTGGAAATGAAAGAAGGTGGCACGTGCATATAACTTTCTTTGCTGCCCACATAATGTTCACCATTCTTTCTAGAAGACAATGCTAAAGTAGGAGGAATCCTTAACAAAGCTGTCATTCTAAAAAGAAAATGATTAAAAAGGAAAGAAAAAAATCCCAGAAGATTGAAGACTTTCAGACACACACACACACACACACACACACACACACACACACACACACACACTCCACTTAGCAGGGAGAACCTATCTGAGGGTGCATTGCCAGACAATCCTGTAGTTGTACAAGCATCATAGGGTGTACTTACACAAATTAAGATGTGCAAATCACCAGGCATCCTAATCTGCCTAGACTTCTATGATATGTGCAATCCATCACTAAATGAATTGCAGTCATGCAATGGGCAACTGAACATGTATATCTTCTTCACATGTTTAATGCGCAATGTTGTGTATAATAGATATCTGATTCATATATATATATGTGTATATATATGTATATATATTTATTTAGTACTGGTATGATCTTAGTTGTCATTTCCCAAAATTGAAAATATATTTGAGACATGACAATAGAACACGCCATTCATTAGTATAGATACTGGGGTTTGGGCTGCCTTTTGAAATGCTTTCTACTCAGCTATTCATTGACTCGGCTCAGATCCATCAACTTGGCAGGCAAACTAGGACTCACTCACAGATGTATACATCGCTGTTCTTTCCCTCTAAGGAAACAGCGTATGCTTTGGAGTTCACCTACCCACGGCCCTGAGTTGGCCATCTATAAACCAGAGTTCGTCTACCTGTGGCTATGAGTTGACATCTATATAGAAAACTTAAAGCCAGAGGTTAAACTGTGATGTTAACATGTGGGTAACATGTTAGAGCCCAAGAAAAATATTCTAAAATAAAATGCATACCCCAGATCAAAGTATATGAATTTACAATGTCTTTAAAACACACATATGCTATTTATTGTTAAGGCTCCTTACCAAAAATACAGGGTAAAAAGTTTGATAATTATAAAGAAACAAGTGTTCACACTTTTTAGTCATGACTCCAAAAATACAAAACCAGATTGCAGTGTCTGTTCTTTCTATGTATTTACACGTGTAACACAGAAAAGGGACAAAAAACAAGCAGAATATAAATTACAGTCTTGTTCAGAAACCCCTTATACAGTAGGCATATACTACAATAGATTTCTTTTAATTCATAATACAAAAACAAACAGAAAGACAAAGCCACAGAAGTCAGAGAACTCATCAATTCATGAAAATAGAGGTTTTTAACTTCAAGTTATTTTAAAATTTTCATTTTTAGGCAATTTTGCATATGAAAAAGTTTATGACACTTGTTCCCCCAGATATTATTAAAAATCAATTATTTTTTCTATTGGAAAAATCCATCCATTTCTGCAGATGTCGTCTTTAAAATATCTTGGCTGGCTACCTCACAACTACATTTACTCCTGACATGTCAGCTGTTGCATTCAAAACACAAATGGCACTGAGATTACAACAATTCTAAAAACCCTTTCAGTTAAGGGCACTTTTAAAGACCTTAATTATTAATAAAGGGGGTCTCTTCCAGCTCTGATAGGAATGTAGAGATCCCATCACTCACCCTCCCCCCCACCTTCAACTTTATGTTTTAGAACGTAGCAGATTTTGACCTTGTTTGTCCTGAGGTCTCAGGTGAATCTCTTCTGCTAGCCAAACTCCCAAGGTCACAGGTTTCCTTAGTGATACCCTTAAGAATTGATTAGTGTCCATTGTCAATTTTCTATTTGTTCTGCATCCAAGAATCTCAAGTCAGTGTTAAGCCATTCAGCACTGCGGTCCGGCCAGTCTGCATAAATCGCCTGCTCCCTTTCACATCGCTCCATGAAAATAAAGAAGCTGCACGCAGAAGTAGTATGAAAATAAAGCCAGCCTTGCTTCCTCGGAGCCTGTCGCTAGCAGAGCAGTGCAGTGTATTTCAATTAACATCCAACCCTCTCGAACAGTGACACTTCAGTATCTGTGAGAGTCTGCCTTTTAGAATTAAATACTCAGACAGCCATTTTGCAAAAACACAGCAGGTCTACAAAAAAGGGCTGTTTCAGAGAAACAGTCAGAATGATAAAGCCGTTGGAAACGCTGGCATTATTGCAACAGCTGTGTCATCCATCAAATGATTATCATCTACTATTTTTCTGAAGCGCTTCAAAATAGGATTTAACACTAGCCACCCTGGCTCTCTGTAATTTGACAAACTCCATACTATTTCATATCTAGAAAATAATCTCTTTTCCCATGCCATGATTCAAATACGAAAACTCCAAGTAAAAGAGTATATCAACTGGTTTGAACTGATACAGATATCTGAGACAATACTCAGCCCCACACATAAACACACCAAACGAATATTTCTACAAGTTATTTCCAACCTCATGGAAGTAACCTGGCACAGAAGACAAACACACAAAAACATCTCTGGAAAGACCTCAGAATCTCATAGACCTCAGGTGCCTTGACAAGTCATGGCACAAATGATTGATTTTTCTGTTTGGTTCAGCACGGAGATTAAAGCATCCAAAAGAAGCAGCATAGACCAGACAGACACAAGTTACATTTTCAGCTCCTACCCACAACTGAACAGCAATAGAAACTTACATAGGACACCCGTACTCGCCGGCGATGTACCAGCCCGCAGCACTGCATGAAGAGGGGGCAGAACGCAGTCAGAGCGTGGCTTCACCAAGCTGTACTGTGCCTCGTCGTCTCGTCACGGCCACTGTCCATTTCTTCCCACCTTCCACTCCCAGGTAAGAGTCATGGGCAAATGAACACTTAGCTTCTGTCTCTAGGTAGTTTTTACAGACACTGCTGTTTCTGCAGGCATGCCAAAACTTTGTTCTCTCTCTCTGCCTTTTTAAAATTTCTTACAGGTAATTTGAGATCTTCTTTAAGGGGGCTGCCTACTGGCAAAAATCTAGAAAAGGTAGCATTTCCCTTCCCAAAGGAACTATTACTAACGAGGAGTTTTGCCTGTCCAGATCATCAGGGTTTCTGAGCAAGGCTTTTACCGAAGCCATGCTCAACTCCGGAGATTTCAAACCTCAGAGCCTTGCATTTCACCAGGCTGCAGTATGCTTCTTTGGAAGGGAGGAGGCCTACCCTGGCTGCTGTTTATGTGACTGTTTCTGAGAACAACGCTGCTCCTGCTGCTGCTTGGCTGTTACATCGCCCTCCTCACTACGCACAGACTGGCAACAGCATCGTTGATTCACTGGTACCTCTGTAACATTTTGGGCATATCTGATTTGCTCTCTTCTCCCTCCTCCCCTTCCACTGACAAATGAGTGAGTCTAGGCTTTAATTCACTGTGGATTCTTAGGACTGTGGAGCCACCCTGTACACTGTGAGATGCTTTGTCCTGCAGTATGTATTTCAAAGGAATTGTAAGGAAGATTGCTGGAGTAGCCTCGGGACCTGACTCACTCAACCACTGCGGCTGTACAGTTTTTTTCTGCTTGTTGCCAAAGATTCATTTTTCTACATTGAAGCATGTTAAATAAACACAGCTCTGGCAGGCAAATGTGAGCAGAGTCAGACCTAATTAATTGGTTAAATAATATATCATCTATGATTTAGACACAATAAGCCAAATGTTCCATAAGCCTGAGAGCTTACAAGTCAATACTCCATGTAGACTATAATTTATACCGTTCCCCAAGGACACAGTTTTCTGGCTGGGAGCTGATCTTTACATTCTTTGTCTAAGGCCTTGTACATGTCACACCATGAAAGATGAATCATTAAGGCATTGGGGACTCAGCTATTAATTTGGATGATATCAACCATTCTAATAAGCAATGATTCATATAACCTTTTAGTACACCACACATATTGATCCAAGTTTGCCTCCACACCCAAGTCACCGTATATCACTGAAGAAAGTACATTAATTAATTTCACATCGTAGTCTAAGATCAACAATATCACCACATTCTTTAGGCACATGGAAAATGAGAGCTTACTAATTCTCAATCTTTTGCCATGTTTTCTTTAGAGCTTGGTGACAATCATGTATTGTTCTTCATCTCAGAGATGACTGAGAACTGGAAGCTATCTCTGTTTTAATTCAGACCTCTTATATGATTGGCAGAGGAGCTGAGACCCCAAATGGTTAGTGTTTGGTAATGTAGCAGCAGTATAATTGAGAATTTGGACTTCTCACAGACTCCCAAAATCTATGGCCTTATCACATACTAATCATCCATGTTTTTGAAGGACCTAAGGGAAAATATGACTATATAGAGCAGGGGTTCTCAACCTTCCTAATTCTGCGACCCACTAATAGAGTTCCTCATGTTGTGGTAATCTCTAACCATAAAATCGGCTTCACTGCTACTTCATAACTATAATTTTGCTACTGTTATGAGTTATAATGTACATATATAACATGCAGCATATGATATGCAATCTCTGCGAAAGGGTTATTCTGCCCCCAAAGGAGTCAATTCACAGGTTGGGAAACACTGATGTAGAGCAACTCGGCTTTAATTAAGTCAGAGGCATTTCTAAATTAATTTGGAAATTGACTTTAAAATTAAACCTTATGAGGGAGATCAACAGTTTTTGTACAAGATATATTTCTAGTACACAGGATATCAGTTTGATTGTTTCTAAGAAACTTTAGTAAGAAGTATAGTAATGTAATAAATCCTAAAAGTCAAGGTTTTCATTAAGAATTTTCATACAATGTTTTCATCATTTTCTTCCCCTTCTCTCAACTCCTTCCTAAGTAGAGGGGGACAGATAGAGAGGCAGAGAGGGGCATGAAGTTGGATGACTAGGGAAGTAGGGATGATCAAAACCCCTCTTTATCACTCATTTCACAAAAACAAAGAATAAAAATGAAGTCAAAGTAAGAATAAGATAAAAACACTGGAGGGAAGCGCAATCTCTTGGTGGATTCTGAATTTGATTTGGAATTTGCTAGTTAGTAAGTATGACATTTTTTAAACACAGTATGTGAGAGATTCCCCTGTTCATTAGAGATTCCACTAACACTGCCATTCCAGAACCCAAGAAAGAATGCTGAGCACTCTAAGTGGGCTCTGCAAACATTTGCTGGGAACCTTCTATCCTACTACCATTGGTCTAACTTGCTAGAGATAGGAAATAATAAAATACATTTCATCTGCTGTGCTTTTTTTCTTCCTTTTTAACACAGAGGTCATGTAACCTACTTCCCTCGAGTGTTGATGTAAGGCAAGGGCCACCACACCTAAACCAGACTTCAGGAGCTCTCTTCAGCATAGGGCAGAGAATACAGTGACGAGGCTAAATGGGAAGAGGAGGCAAACAGCTTCTAACTATTTCCCAAAGGAACATGCCAAGCTCTGTAAAGTCTGAGATATGTGGACTCCTTTTACAAGGCAGGCAGTGCAGCACTCAGCGCACAATAAGCAGAGAAGGAATGCCAGGTAACTAGGCAGTAAATGCAGCACAGAAATTTACAAGCAGACGAGATACACGATACATCTGTTTATATGAATCAAGGATGTGTGTGAATTACATGTTCATGACACATGAAGGCAACAAGTATTTTTAGGGGTTTGTGTTTTATTTCTTGGTGTGTGTGTGTGTGTGTGTGTGTGTGTGTGTGTGTGTTATGTGCATGCTTGTGCACATGTGTGCACCACATATGTGTGGGTACCTGTGGCGACCAGAAGCAGGTGTCAGGACTCCCAGAACGTGGAAGTCCAGGCAGTTGTGGGTCACAGGACACAGGTGCTAGGAACCCAACTTCTGGGCTCTGGAGGGGCAGCAAGTGTTATTAATACTGAGACATCTCTCCAGTCCCTGGGCTTTTTTGAAACAGCCTCTCACATCACCCAGCATGTCCTTGGATTTATTATGGGCTACATAGACAAGAATGGTTATCAATTCCTAATCCTCCTGCCTCTACCTTCCAGGTGTTGGAGTTAGAGGTTTATATCACCACGCCTGGTTTAAATCTTCAAACTAAACTTAGTTCTCCCATGAATTCAGTCCTCATTTACATGTACATTCCTAGTACTAAACACAGTAAACAACATGTAGAAAATAATAAATCCATACTTGCACCTTCATTATTCATTTGCTATTTCATCCATGGTAACCAGAACAGACAGAGCTTGTACTAAGACAAATACTCCAGCTTCCTTAGCAACTGAGGGGATGTGTGACTAGCTTCTGACCAATGAGAAAGAAGCAAAAATGGCATGTACCAACACCCTAGATGTCCTTAGAGGGATTGGACCTTGCCTCCCCCTGCCCTTTCTGCTTTCCTGCTGGCCTAAGTGTACTGCTGAAGGGACACAGAAAAGCCCACTGCACATCCAGGGGAACACAGCCCCAGGTTTCCAGTCTCTCACTGGGAGCTGCCCTATCAGTTGGAAGTGGTTTGTCATGGCACAACAGTATGAAGAGAAACATGCCTCATACTTCTTAGTGGTTAAGCTACTGCTACCTTGACCTCTGTTAAGGAAATGAAACCAGTATTTTAAAAATACCCCTGGGTATTATTGCTTTTGGAGTGAATAATTAATTCATAGTATCCAAGGGAGCATGTGGGGAGGTGGGAATGGACGGGCGGGAACAGATGGAGCAGAAAAGTGAAGGGAAGAGAAAGCTCAGGTCAGAAGCATAGTCTGTGCCAGACCAGAGCGTCCCAAACTCCACAGCAGAGTTCAGGCTTTACCCAGCATGACAGGAGAACTACTGAAGCCTTTAAATGTGAAAAATAACTGCTTATTTTTATTAACAAGTGGGAAAACCAAACCTCTCTAAATAATTTGGTCTAAAAATATTAGACTATTAGCTAAAACCAGTAAGGAATCTGAAGCTACTGGGCTGATGTGTTGGCAATTAACGTCCAGCTACTTAGTAATGGAATCAAATGAAGTTAATCAAATAGCTGATGATTTATGGAGTTCACTGTAAACCTAATGAGTGGTTCAATTTTCAAATAATCTACGGCATGTTTAAATTTCAAATATTGTAAAGGGATAAAGAAAGGATGATAGAAATAATTACAAATAACCACAGACACATATAAGTTGAAGCCAACCACAGGCATTTTAAAGTCTAGGGGGTTCATCCCTGGGTACAACGTATGAAATGGGGGGATTATTTCTTTATGGGTCATGTTGTGTGTTATTCCTCTTGAGGAGAGAGAAAACACACAGCAACCGAGACAGTATCTCTCCTCAGAAGAATGACACTGGAGAAATAAAGCCAGCTGCAAAAAGATGATCTCACAGCAGCTGAGAAACACAGGAGAGGGGGCAGAGAGAGGGGCTGAGAACTGTGCTATTGGTTACCCAGAGGAACAAGAAGTCCCAGTACAGAGGCCTAGGAAGATGGCATGAACACCTGAGTTTGCGTTCTCAGCCTTCACATCATGTTTTGCCATGGAGATACCCACTTTAACCATAGTGAGATGAACAGAAGCAGAGAGAGGTGAATCCGAGGGGCTTGCGCTCTAGCCAGTCTAGCCAAACTCATGACCCCTTGGTTCAGTGAAACCCTATTTCAAAAAATCCCATAGGAAAGATAAAGTCACCTAAGGTTGACCTCTGGCTTCACATGTGCATGCACAGTGAGCATATATCTTCATACATGGGTGAGCACATTCATATGCATATCTGCACAGACATGCATATACCACACAAATACAGAGAGAGAACTTCTAGCATGCTACTGCACAGCAGGGTGACTACAGGTATCTATTACAGCATATGTCAGGAATTTAGTACTTAGAATGTTTCACCATAAACAAATGAGAAATGTTCAAGGAGGTAAGCTTGATCTAGTTCAAATATTGCATAACATGTACATGTGTCAGAAATATTTGCCAGTTATAACACATATACATGCCCATGTTACACTAATTTATTTTTGCACACATAAGGGAATGCATGTGCTACAGATTATGTACAGAAGTCAGAGGACAGCTTGCAGGAGTCACATCTGACCTTGCACCATGTAGGCCCTAGGGATGGAACTTAGGTCAGGAGACATGGTGCTAAACTTCTTGACCTGATGAGTGATTTGCCAGCACCAGTTTTTATAATTTTATACATCAGTTAAAAACAAGTTTAATTTTGAAATGCCTACACAATCTTGAGTTACTTATTAGAGTGGAACAGAAGGTTTCTCATCAGGAGTGATTCTGCTTTGGGGTTACAGCTCTTTTAGTGGCTAAGGTTTCACAAAGGCAGTCTCCAGCCTTAAAGCCATGATAGCCCCTGTGATGACTTCACACCCATCCATCATGGTACATTGTTACAGATATACACATTCGGGGCCTAAAGTTCTTAAGTTTGTTTTTCTCAGAACAATACCCATCTTTTTCTCAGTAATTAGACTACATCCAGATAATAGCAGAAGTTAGAAAAACAATGAGGTAGTTGAGAGAGACGCAGTCATACTTCCCAAACTACTAGAAGTCTCTGTTTTGTTTTTGTTATTTTTTTTTGTTTTGGGTTTTCAAGACTACACAGAGACACCCAATGTATACCTCTGTCTTCCATGTACTCCTGTATA